CCCTGAAATTCAGAATGTTATCTTAAGAACGTTAAATAAATGCTTTGCTGTTTTGGTTTTTTATCAGAGCGTAAGTAGTTATGACATTGAAGCTAGGAAAAAGTAAATGATTAAAGTTAATTTATCTTTAATGTTTCACATACTAAAAAAAATAGCAAACAAGGACAAGGATGAAAAGAGGAAAAACGTCAAAATGGAATACAAACAGAAAAACTTGAACCTAACTATTTCAAATTAATAGCAAAACCACTTTAAGTGGGGGAAAAAACTAACCAAGTAATGTTTGTACATAGTATTTTAACTACATAACCTTAGGCAAAAACAAAAAATGAATTACAAACAAATATTAAACTCTAATTAATAGGTTTGTTTTCAGATATAGGCTTTAGCAATTCTGAAACTACTTTCTATGTATTTCAGGAATGAACAAATAATAAGTAAATATATTGTAGATAACAAAAGCCAGGTTTCTTGCTGTCAAAGAGAGAAATTACAGATTTGGAAAGAAGGAAAGCTAGAATGAACCCTACTGTATTTGACTGGAATTGAAGATATGATGATGAATTCATGGCTTTTTAAACAGATACAAAACAGATGAGAAAGAATGTATGTACATATATATAAAATTTACAGTTCTATCTAGTGATAGATACACATAAACTAAAAGAAACTAGAGAAATGGCTGATTCCCAGGCTGGGGCGGAAGTATTTTATTACACTAGAGAATAAGACAACTCAAAAAATAACGAGTACTTGTCTAAAGGACAAAGGAGCCAGCTTGCCTAGTCAAAACTGAGACAATCAAAGTATAAAGATAACTCAACTAATAATAAAAAAATGCATGAGTTTAGCTGGGTGCGGTGGCTCACGCCTGTAATCCCAGCACTTTGGGAGGCCGAGGCAGATCACTTGAGGCCAGGAGTTCAAGATCAGTCTGGTCAACATGGCAAAACCTGGACTCTACTAAAAATACAAAAATTAGCCAGGCATGGTGTTGTGTGCCTGTAGCCCCAGCTAGTCAGGAGGCTGAGGCACAAGAATCACTTGAACCTGGGAAGTGGAGGCTGCACTGAGCTGAGATCATGCCACTGCACTCTAGCCCAGGTGACAGAGTGAGACTCTGTCGTAAAAAAAAAAAAAAAAAAAAAAAAAAAAAAAAAAAAAAAACATGAGTTCATACTAATATAATATACACCTACATATATAAATAGGAAAGCTTGTAGAGAATGCAAACTAATAAATACAAAAATGAAAGACTCAGAAAACCACCACTGGGCAATCACCATTAGTTCTGATTCATTTAAGAACAGAGAAGATGCTAAAACAAATGGTAAAAATTTGAGGAGTAGCAAGATATTTGCATCTAAGTATCTCCCCAGAAGATACTATTAATAGTTACAAAGGAAACACAGTAACTATACAGTAGGGAAACCTACAGATAAAAATTAGCACCCCAGCCTGAGCAACATAGCCAGACCTCCTCTCTACTAAAAATCTAAAAAATTAGGCAGGCATGTTGGTGTGCACCTGTAGTCCCAGCTACTCAGAAGGCTGAGGTCAAAGGACTGCTTAAGCCCAAAAGTTCAAGGCTGCAGTGAGCCATGATCACAGCACTGCACTCAAACCTGACCAAGAGAGCAAGATCCCTGTCTCTTTAAAAAATAATAATAAACAAAAGCTCAACATCCCTATTAATGGAATACATGGATAACATGATTCCTGATATCGTACACTGAGAGGAATACAATATTACTCCTGGAGTGTTCCTGCCAAAAATATAGAACCCAAACCTAATCATGAAGCAGCAGCAAATCAATATTAAAGCAATTCTAAAAATACTGGCCTATTTTTATCAAATATCATCTCAAAGGTCATACAAGAAAAGAGGAGTAACCAATCAATTCACATTAAGGGAGACTAAGACAAGAGAACGTTAAGGTGTGATGTAGAATTTACTCCAGTAAGGACATTACTGGTATGATTACTGAAACCTGAATATGATCTACAGACAACAGTACTGTATCAAAGTTAATTTCTTGATTTTGATCATTGTACTACAGTTAAATAAAATGTGCTTGTTTTTAAAATATACACAGAGTTATTTAGAGGTAAGGGGTACCATGAATTGGAATTTACTCTCAAAATGTTCAGAAAAGAAATATTTTCATTTGCATGTGAAGAGAGAGAAAAAGCAAATATGGCTACAGGAGGTAGAGAAATCTGGATGAAGTATACACAAAACTTCTTCATCATTCTTACTATTTTTCTATGAATGTGAAGTCATAAAAATTAAAAATGAGAAAATAAATTTGTATTTGGACATTACACCAGTAAAAACAAAACCACCAACCAAAAAAACCTATGAAAAATTGAATGATGGTTCTCCTTTACATCTAGCACCAAGGATTGAGAACTAGGTCCTTCTAATCCCTGCTCTAATGCTTACATTGCATTTCCTTGGAAAAATCACAACTGTTCGGCCTCAGTTTCCTTATCTGTAAAATGGGATAACCCCTATCTAACCATTATCACAGAGTTAAACTAAAGATCCACGGAAACATGATAATGGCTGCAGAAAAGAGCGCAGAGTATAAAACACTGCATATTATAAAGTGGATCACTTTTTTCTAATATCTACCTTTTTTTCTTTTTAATTTTTGTAAGTATACAGTAGGCACACATACTTGTGTACATGAGATGTTTTGAAAAAGTGGTTTACTTCCCTCCCCCAGCCCCCACCCAGCCAGAGTCTTGCTCTGTCGCCCAGGCTGGAGTGCAGTGACGTGATCTCAGCTCACTGCAACCTCTCCCTCCCTGGTTCAACAAATTCTCCTGCCTCAGCCTCCTGACTAGCTGGGATTACAGGTGCACACCACCACACCTGGCTAATTTTTACATTTTTAGTAGAGACGGGGTTTCAACATGTTGGCCAGGCTGGTCTCAAACTCCTGACCTCGTAATCTACCCACCTTGGCCTCCCAAACTGCTGGGATTACAGGCATGAGCCACTGTGCCCAGCAAAGTGGTAACTTCTAACAAATGTTTAGCAAATTAAAAGTACTTCATAAATATGTAAGACAGATTTTTGTCATCATAGTGAGCAGTTGTTACAGAAACTAGACATTTGCTACATCATGTTTTGATTTGTAAAAAACAAAATTACTTATTCAAAACTCAAAGGGCAAAAAAGATTAAATTTTTTTTTTTTTTTACTCCGGAGGATTTTACTCATATATTTAAAATATTTCAACAAATTCAAACACTTATGCTTATTTTTTCTTGACCATAAAACTTTATGGTATCAAAAACATTGCTACATCAAAGAAAGCCATTAACTAGGACTTGGTCAACCTCTGAGACAGTGATCACTGTATAGAAATCGTTATATTATTTCCCAAGTTCTACACACTAAAGTACATGGCAAAGTATTCTTTCTTTGATAAGCTACTCAAATGAACACTGAGGAATCACATCAAATTCAGAAAATATTTATAAAAGGGACATCAATTTTCTCAGATACTTAAACGTTTGCTTTAAAAATGAAAATACTTATTAGTTTGTTCTTCTAAATTCATAAGGCTTTGGTCTCCACTTAACAATAGTTGCTTTTTAAAATCATATGCATGTGGAGACTAATGATTCTCGCTGACAAAACATCCTTAAATCTGTATAATAGTTAAGATTCCAAAATATCAAATGGAGATTTTAAAACATATATAACAGACAATTTTGTATAAAACTTAATGTAGCTAGTCATATTTTCCCATTGTTTGAAAAATCATTTAACTAAGTCTACCTGCTCAGTCTCTATTCTGAGCAGTGAACAGGCAATCTGGACTCTAAGAGGAAAATGCTAAGAACAGATCAGGCTGCAACCAACATAGTCCTTAGCAAAGAAGCAATGCTGGAGTCAGTAGTGCCTGCACAGCCTGTCCAGCTCTGCAGCAAGTTCAATACACAAACTGGTAACAAGACAAAAGGAAAAGGATCACAACAACACAGGCTCCAAAAGGGCATGATTTCTGCTTGTCTGGTTTGCCACTATAACCCAGGAGATGGAAAAAAAATCCCTAGGCCACAATACATGTTCATTAAATATTAGTTACATGCATAAACAAATTAAAGAATGAAATCCTAGGTCTTTCAAGTCAATCAATATAAATTACATTAAGTTGCAGAATTATTTTAAAAACAAATTTGGCATACATCAACTTAATAGTCAAAACTGTCTTTAGAGAACATGAGCAACCTAGTCCCCATTCTGACTAAATAAATAAATGTCAAAGTTCCTGAGATTTTTCCTGACCTACAGTAGGTATTTTAATACATTTACATAGCATTCCTTAAGTTTAAAGGATGGCTGTATCAGAAACTCTTATAAAACAAAATTAGAAAGACGAAACAAATGCATATAATCAAAATCAGAAGCAGCAAATGCATCATGTTTACCATCAAATATGAGACAGAATCCATTTAGGTAAGAAATCACAAGCTATAAAAACAGTTCTCATCAGCATTTATTTCTCATAACCAATAGTACCTCTACCACAATCTGCTGCCTCTATAATTAGAAAATCAAAATTTCGATTTAGTCTTTGTTTATTCCTATAGCATATACGTCAATAATCTGTCATTTTATAGTCCAAAGAAATTCTTTAAGAGGTACATTATTAAATTAAGAAGTCTGCAATTCACTCAAATAGTTCTGTTTCTTTTGTAAAATCACATGGAGCAGAATACAAGTAAACACAACAAAAGTTTACACATGACTTATGCTCACTATTGAGCATAAAACTTTTTTCTCCAATTAACCTATTTTTTGTGAAGCAATTCAACTTATTCCCTAGACGCTCTCTTTTAAGACTACCAATCTATTCTAAGTGACAAACTTCATTCTGCTTCCCAAATACTAACCATATAATCAAATATACTATTCCACTACCAATTGAAACCTAACATATTCCAAAGGGCCTGCCTTATGTGGGTTATCATCATCTTACTATGCTTCTTGTGTCCATGCTGCTGGAAAAGCAGTCTGTACAAGCAGGAGTAGAGGCACAATCCTGAGAGAGAGGAGTAGAGAAAGATGTTGAGAAAACAAAACCAGACAAAATGAGCTCACTTAAAAGTTCAGGAGCTCAGCCAGTGTTCAAGGTCAAGGTTGATTACATTCTTTCACACCATATGAGTTAGAAGTTGTCCAAAACAGCATAACTGGCCTTAGAAACAGGTATCTGAAATTGTACATACAAGTAGTAATATTATCACTAATTCTAAGCCACCTATACCCCTTCTGAAAAAGAAGCAAATGGGCCAGGCGCTGTGGATCACTTGAGGTCAGGAGTTCGAGATCAGCCTGGTCAACATGGTGAAACCCCGGCTCTACTAAAAATACAAAAATTAGCCGGGTGTGGTGGCACATGCCTGTAATTCCAGCTAGTGGGGAGGCTAAGGCAGGAGAATTGCTTGAACCCAGGAGGCGGAGGTTGCAGTGAACCGAGATTACGCCTCTGCACTCCAGCCTGGGCAAAGAAGCGAGACTCCGTCTCAAAAAAACAGCCAGCAAATGATCACAGAATATGACTCTTTAGGATACTGGGGCTATAAAGTCCCCTAAATGTTAATCAAAATTACTGTAACAAACTCCATGCTAGTCTAGAATGAAATAACTGAACTCCATGAAACATGCATTTCCATCGTGCCCAAAATTTTTTTATATTTAATGATGTGTATTTAACACTCTCAAATCATGCAGTCTCTCAAAACCGTTATCAGTTTCAATTATCCTTGTATTCTATTTTTAATGTAAGAAACAAACTTCTATATGTCATTTCAAACAGAAAAACAGCAAAATCAGACATGAAAATAACATAATTACTAGACAACATAAAACTCACAATGGATCTAAACTAACTGGAATCTTCAATGGACTACTCCCCTCCCCAATTATCCTCCCCAAAGTAATAACCAGATGTTCAGAAATGTTAACTACCGTAGCCAAGGTCATTTAGCTACCTAGGATTGCATCCATTCATTCAAGAAATCTTTACTTAGCGGCCGGGCACGGTGGCACACACCTGTAATTCCAGCACTTTGAGAGGTCAAGGTGGGTGGATCTCTTGAGACCAGTTCTATACCCGCCTACCAGCCTGGGCAACATGGCAAGACCCCATCTCTATTCAAAACACAAAAATTACCCAGGCATGGAGGTGAATGCCTGTGGTCCCAGCTACTCAGGAGGCTGAGGTGGGAGAAATGCTTGAGGCAGAGAGGCAGAGGTTGCAGTGAGCCCTGATGGCACCACTGCTCTCGAAACTGGATGACAGAGCAAGGCCCAGTCTCAAAAAAAAAAATCTTTACTTTACATATATACTGTGTATTAGGATACCGTGCTATGAACCAAGGACATGAAACAAAGGAAATACAGTCACTGTCCTCATAGAGCTTATCGTCTAGTGGTAAAGACTACTAAAATTACTTAAAATTGCTATGATCACTGGAAGAAAAAGCACAGTGTTTTAAGACAGTTTAACAGGAGACCTAAATCAGTCATTCTGAACCAGGGTAACCATGCCCCGCAAGAAACATTTAGCAACGTCTGGAAACATTTTTGGCTGTCGTAATTGTGGAGGGTGCTAGTGGTATCCAATGCATAGAAGCCAGGGATGCTGTAAACATCCTGGAATGCATAAGACTGCTCCCCAAGCAAACAATTATCCAGCCCAAAATATCAATAGTTCCCAAGATATTTAGATCTTGGGTTCTCATATGAGCAGAAAGGGGTTAGTGAAAGATTTCCTTCCTTTATAACACTAAGTATGCTACATCTTTAAAGGACTTTCACAAGGTAAAAAGAAAAAAATACAGCCTGACTGACAGAATTAACCAGAACTCCCACTAGAAAATGATAATAGGAAAGGAAAAGCAGAGACAGATTCCCTGGTAGATGAAAATAAAAGACAAACGCAGTGTTTTATAGCTGCTTCCCATAAATTCCCTATCCTGAACTGTCGACAAAGGAAAAATATACAAACTAAAAACAAATTTCACGTTTGTATTATGCCCTCTACCTTTTCTACTTTTCTCTTCTAACCCATGTCTACTACCAGATGTTGGTGAAATTACAAAAAGTCCTGTAGTTAGACAAAATACCCACACTGAATACAAAATTGGAAGTAAAATAAAACGGAGATGGAAGTTCACTTTATAGAACAGAAAAATGTAGTGGATATTAAATTGGTTCTGGAAAGCCTGCACCCTGGAATAGTCTAAAGATTAATCTATCCGAAAGGATCCCAAAGACAAAAAATACTAAGAATTTACGTATTCTAAAGACAATTAAAGGTAACAGAATCCTCTAAATTTATGAACTAAGGTAAATCCAGAAATTAAACTGAAATTACTCTTCTGACATATCTCAAACCTACATATCTGGTCCTACATCTTCCCACTTAGCCTATTCAGAGCAGCAAGAGAAATAGATCATGGGGGAAAGGCTACATTGTAATACACTAGCAATACAAAGGACCTGAAAAAAATAGATCACTGACTGGTATTTCATTATGTTAAAGATTAACTGTTAACTTTTTTGAGGTGTGATTAATGGTAAAGGGACTGTGTTTGTTTGTTTGAAGTACTTAAAATTTAAAAGAATCTGGCCAGGACAGTGGCCCACCCCTGTAATCCCAGTACTTTGGGAGGTCAACGCAGCAGGATCATTAAAGGCCGGGAGTTCAAGAACAGCCTGGACAACATATTGACACCCCCCACCCATCCCTACAAAAAATTTAAAAATTAGGTGTGCATAGTGGCGCATGCCTGTAGTCCTGGTTACTTAGGAGGCTGAAGCAGGAAGATCACTTGAGCCCAGGAGTTCGAGGTTACAGTAAGCTATGATCCTGTCCTTGCACTCTCTAGCCTGGGCAAGAGAGACTCAGTCTTAAACAACAACAACAATCTGCTATGTTTTAAAATGCCCTCTCGAACTAAAGTAAAGAATGGGTCGTGCACTTGCCACTGTCTCACGACCCCTTTTCAAAGAAACAAAAAAGGAAACAAAAAAATAGAACAAGATCCTACCAGAATGACCTCCAAACAGTGATCATTCTTAAATACTGAGTATAGATATGCAGCTCACATAAAACTGCTGCATTCCAGCAATCAATGCAGTCCCAAAGTAATCCACAGATTTAGGCAGTTCAATCTGCGACCCTTTTCACTAGGAAGAAATGCTAAATCATTACAAGTGCCACCATCTTAGAGCAGCAGCAACTGCAATAGCTTGCTCTGGTAATTCTCTTACGGTTAACTGCTCACCCACTGACTCTGAGGAAATCCTGTATTCTAACCTGAACTTCAGTCTTTCATCATTTCAGAATTGAAAGTAGGCCGGGCGCGGTGGCTCAAGCCTGTAATCCCAGCACTTTGGGAGGCCGAGACGGGCGGATCACGAGGTCAGGAGATCGAGACCATCCTGGCTAACACAGTGAAACCCCGTCTCTACTAAAAAATACAAAAAACTGGCCGGGCGAGGTGGCAGGCGCCTGTAGTCCCAGCTACTCGGGAGGCTGAGGCAGGAGAATGGCGTAAACCCGGGAGGCGGAGCTTGCAGTGAGCCGAGATCTGGCCACTGCGCTCCAGCCTGGGCGACAGAGCAAGACTCTGTCTCAAAAAAAAAAAAAAAAGAATTGAAAGTAGTGGTCATGGGATTAAACTTTCATCACAGGGATGATGTTTAAATAGAAATTATTTTTTTCCCACAAAATTAGCACAGGGGGCACTTAAAAAAAATAAATTCTTGAGCCTAAATATCATTTAACTTGTGATAAGAGAAATTTACCTTGGCCGGGTGCGGTGGCTCAAGCCTGTAATCCCAGCACTTTGGGAGGCCGAGACGGGTGGATCACGAGGTCAGGAGATCGAGACCATCCTGGCTAACACAGTGAAACCCCGTCTCTACTAAAAAAATACAAAAAAACTAGCCGGGCGAGGTGGCGGGCGCCTGTAGTCCCAGCTACTCGGGAGGCTGAGGCAGGAGAATGGCCTGAACCCGGGAGGCGGAGCTTGCAGTGAGCTGAGATCCGGCCACTGCACTCCAGCAAGGGGGACAGAGTGAGACTCAGTCTCAAAAAAAAAAAAAAAAAAAAAAAGAGAAATTTACCACATAATTCCTGCACAATTAAAGGATCTTCTGACACACTAATTTTTAACACAGAAGTGAAAGGTCAATTTCTTTGAGAAATTATGGTAGGGTGGGTAGACATGACAAAAACAACTCATACATGCCTTGCATAAAGTCTGGGATTTTCATAGCTGAAACTCATCCACAGTTTGCAGATTAAAAATCTATATTATCAGGGTTTTCTTTTTCTTTCTTTTTTTTTTTTTTGGAGCAAAGTCTCACACTGTTGCCCAGGCTAGAGTGCAGTGGCTATTCACAGGTGCAGTAATTGCACTCTGCAGCCTCGAACTCCTGAGCTCAACAGATCCTCCCACCTCAGCCTTCCAAGTAGCTAGGACTACAGACACACACCCACAACTCACAAAAATCTATATTCCTAAAGTCTCTGGCATCTTCCTGTTTTCAAACCAATGATCTCCACAAAATTAAAACATGGGGGTGATAAAATTCAGTCTGGAAAAACCTGAGCCTTAGCAAGCCATAAAAGGTAAGTATTTCATATTTTAAACATTTAATTTGGGGCAAGCACCATGGCTTAGGCCTGTAATCCCAGCACTTTGGGAGGGGAGGTGGGCAGACCACCTGAGCTCAGGAGTTCAAGACCAGCCGGGGCAACATGGCGAAATCCTGTCTCTACAAACAAAACAAAACAAACAATTAGCCCGGCGTGGTGACCTGCCGACAGCAAGTACCTGTCTCAGTATTTTTGATTCAGGGTTGCACTGTTGCCTGGGCCAGAGTGTAGTGTGGTGGTGCAGCTCAGTGCAGCCTCCACGTTCCTGGCTCATGAGATCCTCCCACCTCAGCACCTGCCCCCTCCTTTACACCCCTTCACCCAAGTTGGGACTACAGGCATGTGCCACCATGACCAGCTAATTTGTGTTGTTGTTGTTTTGTAGAGATAGGGGTTTCGCCATGCTGGCCAGGCTAGTGTGGAACTCCTGAGCTCAAGTCATCTGCCCGCCTTGGCCTCCCAAAGTGCTGGGATTACAGGCATGACCCATGGAGCCCAGCCTATTTTAAATATTTTAAGGTGAACTATCAAAATATCTTATTGACAAACATTCCTGATTATTCTTAGAGCTAAATTTTGATTCCTTACAAAGCAAATGGAATAATTCAATGTTTCAAAGATACCTTTAAATTTAGCAGAGAAAGTTGTGGTGGATTAAGCCCAAAGATAAACACCTTTAAAAGCCAAATTGACTATAAGCATCGAAAACATCCTTTTCTCCTAATCCTGTTAACTAGAATTCCTTTTTAATTTTTGTAATTTGTAACACATAATTTAATGGAAAACAATCATTATTGAACTACTTCTCAGCATATGCTTATTTGCAATAACAAAATGTTTACTACACATTAGCAAATATTACAACATTCACAGAAACTGCATTCAAAATAAAAAACAGTATTATGTATTGTGTTTGTGTTTAAACAAAAAAAAAAAAGTATTTTTCTGAATCTTCTTCAAATATATTTCCCTTCCTCAACTCTCTGACTCCGTACTGCTATTTTTAAGCTAACCCCACTTTGAAACATGGTGAAGCTAGACCATATAAATAAATAAGGAAGTTACAAGACTTAAGTTCTTTGAAATCCATAAAGGGAAAGGGGAGAGTGCTACATACACTAAAACGGGACTACCACAAACCTCGAGTTCCTGTAAAATGAGAAAACAGGTGAAACACCTATCTAAACATGTAAATGTTAGGCCTTCTTATCCTTAATTAATATTAAAACAAAAAACTGGCATTAACATTTCTTCCCTACTGTGACCAACCACAGTGCACTAAACACTTGTTCACATCTAATATTTGGGAGCTACTGTTTAAAACGTCATGGATGGGCCGGGCACTGTGGCTCATGCCTGTAATCCCAGCACTTTGGGAGGCCGAGGCAGGTACATGACCTGAGGTCAGGAGTTCAAGACCGGCCTGGCCAACAAGATGAAACCTCATCTCTACTAAAAACACAAAAAATTGGCTGGGCATGGCGGCGGGCGCCTGTAATCCCAGCTACTCCGGAGGCTGAAGCAGGAGAATCGCTTGAACCCAGGAGGTGGAGGCTTCAGGGGCCAAGATCTCACCATTGCACTCTAGCCTGGGCAACGAGAGCAAAACTCCGTCTCAAAAAAAAAAATGTCTTGGATGGCCCTTTGAGGGGGAGGACCACATTATTAGGAACCCCCTCAAAGACAGACACCCATCAAAGTGTGTGGGGGGAGGGGGGTGGCGGGAGGAATTAAATCCAATGATGGCAACAAAAAAATAAAATAGTAACACCCCAGGCGTGGTGGCTCACATCTGTCATCCCAGCACTTTGGGAAGCCAAGGTGAAAGGATCGCTTGGGCCCAGGAGTTCAAGACCAGCCTGGGCAACATAACAAGTCCTCCTCTCTATAAAAAATAAAATCGGTGGGCGTGGTGGCTCTGGCCTGTAATCTCAGCTACTTGGGGGGCTGAGGTGAGAGGAGGACCCCTTGGGCCCGGGAGGCAAATGCTGCGGTGAGCCAAGATCACACCAGTGCACTCCAGCCTGGGTGACAGAATGAGACTCCTTCTCAAAAAAAGAAAGATAGCTATGAAAAAACTGAAACTCCAGGCACGGTGGCTCACGCCCATAATCCCAGCACTTGGGGAGGACGAGGCGGGCCGATCACTTGGGGTCAGGAATTTGAGGACAGCCTGGCCAATATGGTGAAACCCTGTCTCTACCAAAAATACAAAAATTAGTCGAGCGTGGTGATGCATGCCTGTAATCGCAGCTACTCGGGAGGCTGAGGCAGGAGAATCGCTTGAAACTGGGAGGTGGAGGCTACAGTGAGCTGAGATGGTGCCACTCTAGCGTGGGTAACAAGAGCGAGACTCCACCTCAAAAAAAAAAAAAGAAGAAGAAGATTCCCAAGTGTATTGCTCTAATTTATCAATATTAAAAATAAAAAATGTAGTATTAAAAAAGAAAATGCTTTCTAAAAAAAGTTATATATCACCGTTTTCTAAAATAGCCCAAATATTATCTACCGTTTAGCCTCTCTGCTAAGATTTCCAAATACTGTTTTTCTTTTTAAAGAAATTGAAACAACATAAAATTATGCAACGGCATTTAAAAGTACTGTCCTATATGGGCCACCACAACAAAAAGCCTAGTATTTTAAGACGTAAATATTACAGATACTCTTTAACAATCATAGTATTTAATAAAGTATTAACATTTCAAGAGTTCGTAAAATTTATGCTAATTTAGTTAGCAGCATAATTACATTTTTTCTTTTCTTTTTTTTTTTTGCTTTGTAGACAGAGTCTCACTCTGTCACCGGGCTGGATTGCAGTGGCGCCGATCTGGGCTCACTGCAACCTCCGCCTCCCAGGTTCAAGCGATTCTCCTGCCTCAGCCTCCTAAGTAACTGGGATTACAGGCGCCCGCCACTACGCCCAGCTAATTTTTTGTTTTTAGTAGAGACAGGGTTTCACCATGTTAGCCAGGCTGGTCTTGAACTCCTGACCTTGTGACTGGCCTGCCTCGGCCTCCCAAAGTGCTGGGATTACAGCCGTGAGCCACTGTTCCCGGCCATAATTACACTTTCTAAGGCTTACGGGTAGGGGTACTAATGCTGACTGTGCAGATGTGTACTTGCTATGTTTAATGTTTACATTAAGGCATATTGAAGTCAGAGTTTAAAAAGAAACTGAATACATCTTACCAAAACCTGTCTTCTTCCAGACTAGTAAACTCAACTACACTGTGAAAACTGGAATATGCTTTTTAAAATCTCGTTTGACACGTGAATGAGCCAGCGAGAAATGTTTCCCCCAGAATCTTCCATCTCTCGATGCACAGATCTCTCCCTACCATTTGTCTTTATGTCGTGATGGATTAGAAGAGGAGGGAGTAAAAATAGAAGATACCGCAGAATAACCTTTGCCTGTCTACAAATCATCCAATTAGCTCAAGTCCCTAGCTGGCAGGTTACCTAGTCAACAATGTCTCAATTATAAACACTACGTGTAACGTGACCACAGATCAACACCCCGTAGGTTCATTTCCCCCACCGCCCCCAATCGGTGTCAGCCTCAATGAGGACCCGGGAAGGTCTGGAGAGTGATGTCCAGCGTCCACTTAAATCCTCAAAGGCCCAGGAAGGAGGTGGGCGGGCCAGGCCTCGGAGGAACTGACCTCGAGGGACCTGTCGGGAGTCTCCGGGGGAGGGCCCAACCGGGTCTTTCCCTCCAAGCCCGCAGCCATTCCATAGGGCGCCGGAGACGCCAGAACCTCCCTCCGTCCCAGGGCGGCCCTCCCCCAACCCTCCTCCCGGACTCGGGGGAGGGGCACCCAGAGGAGAAACACCCCTCCCCCACGGGCACTGCTAGGCCACCGCTCACCCCACCCTTAAAAAACCCGCAGGCCCGCGCCCACCCTCCGGGCCCCGGCCTCGACACGGGGTGGGGGCGGTGCGGGCAGGAGCAGGGGAGCCGGGCTGCCATACCAACCTCGCTATTGAAGGTCTTCACGGCCTCCATGTTGTCGCTGCGGAGGCCCCGAGCCCGGCGGCGGAAGAGGCGGCGGCCACTGCACTGGGTGGGGAGAGCGAGACGCGGGCTGCTGCGTGGCCGCGAGGAGGGGGCGCTGGCGGGAGAGCGGGCCGCTGCGACCTCGGGGCGGAGTGGAAGGGCACGCGCTGGCGGGGAAGGGCTCCCTCAGCGGCAGCGCGGCCCCGGCATGGCCGCTAGGGCGGGGGGGAGCGCCGTTCTAGGGAACAGAGGCGCTGCCGGGGCGGGTCGGCGGCGGACGGGGGGGAGGGGCTGGGCCGCGGCGCCTTCTCTTCTCCGCCGCGCTCCGTCTCGGTCCCCCTCCCTCTAGCCCCGTCCCCTACACTCTCCACCCCCTTTTTCCCCTTCCTCCGACGGGCTCCTGTTTCACCTCCCTGCCGCTCGGGCCGCAGGAACCAGCCCCGTTCGGCGAAGACAGAGGAGGAAGCGCTGGCAGCAGCGGCTGCGGCATCCAATATGGCGGACTCGAGTCGGGCCGCGCAGCTCGGGGATCCGCGACGCCGGCCAGCGCGCCCCCTGGCGACTGGACCGTGCGAGCCCCGGCGGCCGCGCGGAAACCATCGAGCGGGCTGGGGCCAGAGCGTCGCCGCCCGGAGGCCCGGCTAGGCTCCGCTGCGTTCGCCTTGCCCCCCTGGGCCGCCCGCGCCTCGCCCCCTCCCCGCGCCCAGCGGACGCGGGAGCGAGCGCTGCGGCATCTCGGGCAACACCGCGGCGGGTTTGTACCGCGGGAGGAGGCAGCTCCAAAGCGCGGCTCTAAGAACCTAAACGTGCCCAAGAAGCGGCAAGTTTAGGAAATGTGCGCATTTCCCTTGTTTCCCGGTGGATTGGTCCTTTTGCACAAGCAGGGTTTCGTTGCTTTTCAGAACTTTACTGGACAGTGCCCTAAATATCCGCAGCCCCCGCCAAGAAAAAGTTCCTGGTCACGTATTTGGTGACTGAACTCAAGCGTTTTAATTGCACAGGGAGGGAACATTAGAAACCAAAATGTTGGATCCGGGTTGGGGCAGGCGGCGCTCCTTGCAGGAAATGCTGGCTGCATAGGATCCAGGGACTGGAGTGGCACAATGAGTGCATTTGTCTGCAAGGCGGGAAGGGGACCCTAGAATGCAGAACACTTGAATAGGTGAAAAGGGAACCCGTCTGTTTCGGAAGATGAATTGTTCTAAAGGAATTTTGCCCTAGGATACTTGGAGTAACGGTAAATACAGTATTTCTTAGATGGACTAGGAGATGCTGCTAGTCAAAAGCCTTCTCTCTCGTGCAGCGCAAAATAAGGTACCAATTTAAAAATATTTATTGATGTTAAAAGACATGGATGTATCGTGGAACCCTGAACACTGCTGTCCTCTTGTTGAAAGTCATTTTTCAACAATCACTCCCAAATTCACTCGGAGAGAGGAACATGAGGGCAGAATCGTACTTTTGGAGAGTTTAGGAATCCAGTTAGTTCCTAAGAGCTATGCCCAGAACTCCGTGAAACTGAGAAAGTAAGGCCCTTCTTGAGGTTTCAGAGCCTTCACTCTACTTCATTGGCAGCTTTAGTATAGGGGCTGGCTACTGAGAATTTAACAGGGATAACTCACTAAGTGCTTTTATTTTTACTTTCAAAATCTCAAATTCTGTCACAGATTTCTCCACCGCCTCCCATCTTCAGGCCTAGCCATGATCTTTTACCGACACTTGCAGTAGCCTCCTAACTGGTCCCTTGCTTGTCTTCCTGACATTTCTAGACAGTAGCCGAGGGATGTTTTTCTTAGATAAATCAGATCAGGTCACTCCCTTACTTAAGTCCCTTTGCCCATCTGATATCCTCATAACTTCTCACCATGGCCTGAAGGCCCAGCCCAGCCTGCCGCAGCTCACACCTCCTTCCCTTGCTCCCTGGCTCTCCTCCTGCCACACTGGCCTTTCTGTTACTTGACAACAAGCAGTGTTTTCCTAGGTAGGACGATTGTGTCTCTTCCCACAGGGTGCTGTTGCTTTTGTCCTTTCCATAGTTGACTCCTCCTCCTTCAGTCTTCCTGAAAGAGGTCTCCTCATCACTCCGTCTAAAGGAGCATTTTCTGTGGCTTGAGAAAGTACTGCACTCAGTTCTGTGCGTGCCAGATTCTCACTATCAAAAGTCACTGCTTTGAAGCCGGGTGTGGTGGCTCTCGCCTGTAATCCCAGTACTTTGGGAGGCCAAGGCGGGTGGATCACCCAAGGTTAGGAGTTCAAGACCAGCCTGGAAAACAGTGAAACCCCGTCTGTACTAAAAATACAAAAAAAAAAAAAAAGCCAGGCGTGGTGGCACGCGCCTGTAGTCTCAGCTCAGGAGGCTGAGGCAGGAGATTCGCTTGAACCTGGGAGGCAGAGGTTGCAGCCTGCCGAGATCGCACGACTGCACTCCAGCCTGGGCAACAAGAGTGAAGCTGTCTCAAAAAGAGAAACAAAAAGAAAAGAAAGAAAAAAAAAAGGCGCTGCTTTGGCCTGCGAGGGATTATTTATTCGGTCATGCATGAAATGAATGTTGATGGAATTACTTAGGCCTGAGAAATTAAAATGCAATACAAGCTAAAGGATAAAATCAGTGGTTAACATACTTCACAATTTGATTTAATAAAGCTTCCACATTCAGGATGGTAACAGAGGGCATAGTTTGATCAGGGGAAGCAGGGGGGTAAGATCCAGAGAGCAACCTAAACACAATGGTTTTTTTTTTTTTTTTTTTTGAGACGGAGTCTCTCTCTGTCTCCAGGCTGGAGAGCAGCGGCGCGATCTTGGCTCACTGCAACCTCCGCCTTCTGGGTTCAAGCGATTCTCAAGCCTCAGCCTCCCGAGTAGCTGGGATTACAGGCTTGTGCCACCACACCCAGCTAATTTTTGTATTTTTAGTAGAGACAGGGTTTCACCATGTTGGCCAGGATGGTCTTGATCTCCTGACCTTGTGATCCCCCTGCTTTGGCCTCCCAAAGTGCTGGGATTACAGCCGTGCCCAGCGTTTTTTTTTTTGGTTTTGTTTTTTGTTGTTGTTTTGGTTTTTTGAGACAGAGTTTTGCTCTTGTCACCCAGGCTGGAGTGCAATTACACGATCTCGGCTCACTGTAACCTCCGTCTTCCAGGTTCAAGCGATTCTTCTGCCTTAGCCTCCGGCGTAGCTAGGACTACAGGCAACTGACATCAGGCCCGGCTAATTTTTGTATTTTTAGTAGAGACAGGGTTTCACCATGTTGGCCAGGCTGATCTGAAACTCCTGACCTCCGGTGATTCACCCTCCTCGGCCTCCCAAAGTGCTGGGATTACAGTTGTAAGCCACCTCACCCAGCATAAACACAGTCTTAATATGAGAAGGCGATAAAGCAAGAGAAGGGTTAGAGGGGAGCCCAGGGATCCAGTGCAATGACTATATACAAAATTTATACACAACTACATATTTACAGAGTGTGAAAACAATACCCATGTGTGTGTGTCTGTGTATGTGTGTGTGTATGTATGTATGTTAGGATTCTGAATGCCAGTATAACCAGCCAATTTGAGCTAGTTTAAGTATAAAAGAATAATTCATTATTACAATACAGGTTTTTCTCATGTGGTTCAAAAGTCAGATATGTAGCTGAGTCCAAGGGAGGGACTTGAACCAAAATAGAAAACCTAAGAGGCAATGTAATCTCTGCTTATCTGTTTAATTTTTCTATTGCTTTACCCAATTCTCCGTTTTATCTAGTGGAATCTATTACTTTTGGTTTTATAGTTCTAGACAACTAGAGGACCTGAATGAAGACCTCTTCCTTGCCAGGTCCAAATTCCCAAGGGAAGAAATAAGGAATTTCATTGACCCCACTTGGATTAGGTGACCATCACCAAGAAACTGAAGACCACTAATTTGGTTCTGAAAAGACTGATAGGAAATTGTGGTCAGGAGTACTCCAATCATTGGAAGAGATATTTCATAATCTAAAGTTTCTGGTGTTCTCCTGTAAATGTTGTTATCATCAGACTGTCCCCAAGGACTAAATAGTTTTTGGTAGTAGCTTATAGAAATTAATTCAGCCATGGCCAAGAGGTCCGAGTCAAAAATAGTCTAGAGCAGTAGTCACCATAGAACTTTCTGGGGTCATGGAAATGTTCAGCCGGGCGCGGTGGCTCACGCCTGTAATCCCAGCACTTTGGGAGGCCGAGGCAGGAGGATCACAAGGTCAGGAGATCGAGACCACGGTGAAACCCCGTCTCTACTAAAAATACAAAAAATTAGCCGGGCGCGGTTGTGGGTGCCTGTAGTCCCAGCTACTCGGGAGGCTGAGGCAGGAGAATGGCGTGAACCCGGGAGGCAGAGCTTGCAGTGAGCCGAGATCGCGCCACTGCACTCCAGCCTGGGCGACAGAGCGAGACTCCGTCTCAAAAAAAAAAAAAAAAAAAAAAAAAAAAAGAACTTTCTGGGGTCATGGAAATGTTCTGAATCTGTGCTGCCCAATTCAGTAGCACTAGCCTTGTGTGGCTATTGTGCACTTGAAATATGGCTAGGGCAGCTGAGGAAGGTAATTTCCAATTTAATTTTACTTTAATTGACTCATGTTTAAGTATGTGGCTAGTGGCTACCATATTGGAAGGCATAGGTCTAGCTAGAGGGTACTCACTCCCATGGATAGGGCACTTTTTAGATAAGGGATAATTGTGAGGTAGCACTAAACAAACAAACAAACAAAAAAAACCTGTGAATTATTAGCTGTTAGAAGGAATAATATATGTTTATGAGGTACTTTTAAAATGGGGCAAAAACCTGGAGCATTGTCTAAATTAAAACTAATTCCCATCCAATTGGAAAAAAGAAAACTTAGGAAGCAAACATTCCAGAATGCTTAGTAAATTCGGGTATAGAGACAAATGAATTATTATACTACCAACAAAATGATTTTTACAAGATTGTGGGAAACTATTTGGCCGTTCCTCAAAAAATTAAGCATAGAATTGCCGTATGATCTAGCAAGTTCACGTATGTGTATGTAGCCAAAAGAACTGAAAGCAGAGACTTAGACATGCATGTTCAGAACAGTGTTACTCACCGTTGTTAAAAGGTGGCAGCAACCCAAGTGTCCATTGATGGATGAATGGATAAACAAAATGTACAATGGAATATTCAGCCTTAAAAATGAAGGAAATTCAAGGCCCAGCACAGTGGCTCACGCCTGTTATCCCAACACTTTGGGAGGCCAAGACAGGCAGATCACTTGAGGTCAGGAGTTCGAGACCAGGCTAGCCAACATGGTGAAACCCCATCTCTACTAAAAATACAAAAATTAGCCAGACGTGATGGTGCGCTCCTGTAATCCCAGCTACTCAGGAGGCTGAGGCAGGAGAATCGCTTGAACCTGGGAGGCGGAGGTTGCAATGAGTCGAGATCATGCCATTGCACTCCAGCCTGGGCGACAAGAGCAAAACTCCTTCTCAAAAAAAAAGAAGGAAATTCTGATACATGCTATAACACAGTTTAACCTTGAAGACATTGTGCTAAGAGAAAAAAAGCCAGTTATAAAAGAACAAGTA